CTCATATGAATAATACTGCAGTAAACATGGAAGTGGAGATTAACTTCAAAATCCTGACCTCAGTTTTTTTGGATGTATACCTAGAAGTGGGGATGGGAACTAGTATTATAGTTATGGGATACTAGTATTATAGTTATAGTTTTAATTTTTTGAGGGAATCTCCTGCTGTTTTCCATAGTGGTCATGCCAATTTACAGTTCCACCCACCATGTAAAAGGATTCACTTTTCTTTCCATCCTTGCCAAAACTTACCCTTTGCTTTATTTTATAGTCCTCAGCCTAATACACCTAAACTGATATTGTCATTTTAACATGCATTACCCTGGGAATTAATGATGCTAGAAAAGTTATCATAAAACTGCTGATCAATTATATATCTTCATTGGAGACATGTCCATTCATTCTTCTGCCTGCTTTTAAGTTGGGCTTATTTGATTATGCTGTGGCATTGTAGAAGCTCATCATACATTTTGGATATGAACAATTAATCAGATGTGGAGTTTGTGATGATTTTTTCCATTCCACCTTTTCATTCTGTTGATGCTTTCTTCTGCTGGGAAAAAGAGATTGGGTTTGATAATGCTCTGGTTATCCTTTTTTTTTTTTTTAGCTTTTTGGCTCATACCCAATAAATTATTGCCAAGACCAATACCATAAAACTTTTCTTCTGGGTTTTCTAGGCATTCTATAGTTGTAGGACCTACTTTAAATGTTTAATCTATTTGGAGTCATATGGTAGAAGAAAGGTGTCCTATTTCACGCTGTTGCATATGAATATCCAGTTTTCCCAATGCTATGTTTTGAAGACACTACCCTTTCCCCATTGTAAGTTCTTGGCATCTTTGTTGAAGACACATTGACTCTTTTTGGTTATTGTTAAAATATCCATAGCTAGGCACTTACCTGTCATCTTAGCTCTTCAGAACACCAAGATTTGAGGATTATGGTTTGAAGCCAAAAGTCCACTCTTATCTCCAATTAACCAACAAAAACTTACAAGTGGAGTTGTGGTTTAAGTGGTAGAGCACTTGCCTTGAGTGAAAAAGCTAAGGCAGTGCCCCCCGGGCCCTGAGTTCAAGCCTTAGTATTGATATACACACACAATAAGTCCATACTTTTGACCTACAAATTTAATGGAATCCCTATCAAAATCCAATGGCATTAGTTTACAGAAACAAAAAAAATCTAAAATTCCTTTGGAGCCACAAAAGACTAAATAGCCAAAGCAATTCTGAGGAGAAGCACAAAGCCAGATTTCAAAATACATTAGAACTCTTCAGTGCTTAAAACTATATAGTCCTGTCATGAAAACAGGTGCATAGATTAATAGAGAGCACAAGTAAGTCCACACATTTGTGGGAGCTGCATTTCCAGTAACTTTTTTTTTGGTGTGGGGGGGGTCTGTTCATGGGACCTGAACTCTGGGCCTGGGCGCTGTCCCTCAGCTCTTCAGCTCAAGGCTAGCGCTCTACCACTTGAGCCACAGCGCCACTTCCGGCTTTTTTCTTTTTGCTTATGTGGTGCTGAGGAATTGAACCCAGGGCCTCATGCATGCAAGGCAAGTTTTCTACCACTGAGCCACCTTCCCAGCTTCCCATGGGAGCTGCATTTCCAAAGGGAACTTTCACAGCAAGGGAAAATGTTGGAGAGATCCGTTTCTGGTGGAAAATTTTGCACCCCAGCAGGCAGGTTCTGGGGAAGAGAAAGCAAGGAACCTGGTGACTTTTCTTTTGTAGGATATAGACCATTTCCTTCCCTGCCTGTGGGTGACAGGGATGAGGATTCTCTGGCCAGGTTCTTGGCTTCCATGCCTTGAGAAATGGAGAACAGTGATGTTTTACTAGTTATGGGCTCTAGTCCTATTTCCTGTAGGTAGCTTCCCACAGTGGTCTCGTTCAGAGCAATAAGTTGCCCTGTGTCCTTCTGTTTCTTTCACTTCTGTTTCCCTATCTTGAACATAAAATCTGACTTAAAAAGGCAAGGCACATGTGCTATGGGATAGGAGTAATAAAAAGCTTTAGGGACGTTCCATTCAGATCCCCACTTATAAGAGAACGCTCCCCCTTTGCCTCACTGCCTAGCCTGCGTGAAGAGCTTCCTTCCCCCACCAGCCCCTACAACTTTAAACCCTCCAGGTGTCCACCATCCCTCCAAGATGTCATTAAAAATAAATGCAGTTGAATGCATTGGTTGCCACATTGCCCTATTAAGTCAGTGTAAATACAATTGAGAACATTTCATGGCTGGTCGTTTCTGTAAAAAGCTGAGCAATGAGGCTCTCCGGGAGGACTCAATTCACAATTATGGTAACATTCCTTTGAGAAAATTAGATTGGTCTTAGTACCATTTAAACTGAAAATAGAGATTTGCAGGATGCAAACGACTAGTAAATTTGTAAATCAGATGGCATTTTAAATGCATTAGGAGCTGACTTGCTGCAGAAATATATCCTGTGTGGAGTTTTTAGAAAGAAGGGAAAGATGCTTCTAACAAAAGCATTGCTATCTCCTGGCCTATAATGCCAAGGACTAGAGTTTGGACATTAGATTTTTGTAGATCAGTTTTGTATAACCACTAAATAGATCTGATTTTTAATGATCATTTTTATTTTATTACTTGTAAAAATGGGTATTTCTAAATATAGCAAAAGTAGAAAGGGAACATCAGAAGCACCAATAATTGTATACATAACGTAATGGTTGCTGTGATTCGTGTGTGTGTGTGTATGTGTGTACCTGTGAGAAGTAGGTCAGGTTAACAAGGCCCCAAAAGTGGAGGGTATTATACTCTCTAAACCCAGAAAATAGTCAATGACAGAGACTTTTTGAAACAACCACCACCACTAAAAAGGAAACAGAATGTCTTGCAAGGAGGGGGTGGTAGCATAGAAGTACACAGCTTGCCTAGGAACTACAAGGCCCTGAGTTCCCTTCCTACCACTGAAAAAAAGAGGAGTAGGGCAAAGGAAATCCAGATGGGCTGGAGGCCAGAAAGTAAATGCTTTCCCTGGGTCATCTAAGACTGTGTTAGAAGACTAGGGCACAGTCAATGACCACCTCTTCACCTGGAGGCTGCTGCTCTCTGTATATACCTGGTGATTTGGTTGGTCCCCAGTGTCACCTTTTACCTCCTTCAGTTTAGGGTTTTCTCCCTTCTACTTCACTGAGCAAACACGCTATCCCTGCATTAAGCAGCTGTTTGGGCCATGCATGTGACCCTCCATTGAAGGAGACTCTTGGGAAAGTAGCTTCTTCCCTGAGGCTCACACTACTTGGGTAGGAAGTCAGGCATGGCCCATGCACGAAGTGTTTGGGGACACAGACCCTTTCTGGTATGTTATTAGCTGAACAGTGCGCAGATCCTAGGACACTGGCAAGAAAGGTGAGCTTGTCCATTTTGTCCTCGGGGAAGCCATAAGCAGCTCCACTCTTCCCATATTGAGAGCTATTTGGCTGAGAGCTTTGGGATTCCTAGGGAGTTCAAGTTGTTCCTCAGAGCAGGAGGAAGTGGAACATTGGGCTGCTCCCTTATTCTCTTAATAGTTGTGTTAACAGGAGCCCATTACTTGTACTCTCCATTCTTTAGTTTACCTACTTGTTAAATGGACTTAATAGTTGTATTACTTTGTACTCTCCATTCCTTAGTTTACCTACTTGTTAAATGGGTCATAGTGCCCTTCACGTAGTTTTGTGGTAAGGATTCAGTGAGCTACTATACATACTACTTGTAGTACCAGTCAGAGGAAGCTTTTGCAGCCTGTTGGCCATTGCCACTGTCTTCTTAGCTGAGGCAGCCATTAAAAGATATCATAGACTGAACACTCACTATTTATTTCTCACAGTTTGAGAACCTGGAAGCCTGAGCTCCAGGAACCAGTATGGCGGGGGTCTGGTGAGGATCCTCTTTTTTTGTTGTTGTTGTTGGTTATGGGGCCTGATCTCTGGGCCTGGGTACTGTCCCTCAGCTCTTCAGCTCAAGGCTAGCACTCTATCACTTGAGCCACAGCACCACTTCTGGCTTTTTCTGCTTGTGGTGCTGAGGAATCAAACCCAGGGCCTCATGCATGCAAGGCAAGCATTCTACCCCTGAGCCACCTTCCCAGCCCCTCCTCTTTCTACCACGATGTGCTCCTGACAGAAAGCATATTCATGTGTCTTCCTCTTATAGGGACTTGTAGACTATCATGGGTGGGAGGCAAGAGTATACCCTCATGACCCCATCTAATGGCCACCTGAAAGGTCCATTTCCAAATATCACACTGGGGCTTAGCATAGCACCTGAGAGAGGGTGGCATGGGTAATTAGTTAACATTCATCATCATCATCAGTATTTTCATGGTCATCTATTATTTCCTCTTGCAAGAAGTGCTTAGGCTTAGTGCATTCTCACAGTGGAGGGGAGGAAAAAATAAGGTCTTTTGATCTCAACTGTGGTGGTAGGTCTTGAACCTTTGGGAAGCTATCTGCTTTTATGGTGCTACATTGCCTTCTCTTTTTGGCCTTGGAAGAAGAATTGATTGTTTCCAGTCTGAGTATGAGGGAGAGGGAAGAAGTAGAGGGTTTTAGTTTTAGGCAGCTACTTCTAAGTTAAGCATCAGGTGAGCAAGTACTCACAGCACGGACTCCTCTCTACTGTTCATGTGGTCAGCAATATAGCCCCAGGTTACTGAGTGAGGTGTCCATGGTTGTGCTAAGTTGTGCTAAGATTTGAACCTTAAGTCTTTTGACCCTTAGGCTTTGGAGGGTGAGGGTGGGGCCCAGGGAGAGCTGAACTGGGAGCAGAATCCAAATGGAATAGACTCTAAGGACACAGATGGGACAAAGTAGGAAGAACTGCATTCTGGGTCTGAATGCAGAAGCAGTGCTTCTGTCTGAACCCTCCAGAAGCATGAAGGCTGGCCCCCCCACCCTGCCTACCTCTGCTTATCGAGGGATAGGGTATTCCTTCAGCAAGAGGGGATTGTTAAGCTGAAGTAACACATACTGTTTTCTTCTCTCCAGCCCCTAAAGACAATGAAGAACGTGTGTTCAGGGAGCGTATGCGCCCCAGGAAGCGGCAGGGGGCTGTCAGACGCAGAGTTCACCAGGTCAATGGCCACAAGTTCATGGCCACCTATCTTCGGCAACCTACCTACTGCTCCCACTGCAGAGATTTCATCTGGTAAGCTCCTCCTTCTGGGAACCACATCTAGAATGTCACAAATGTCAGAAATGACGAGGGGACTAAATGGATGACCTCTAGCTGGGACAGGGGTGAGAAAGCAGGGATGGAGTTGGAGATGATAAATTTCATTTAAAAATGTTGATTTCAGGGCTGGGAAGGTGGCTCAGTGGTAGAGCGCTTGCCTTGCATGCCTGAGGGCCTGGGTTCGATTCCTCAGCACCACATAAGCAAAAAGAAAAAAGCCAGAAGTGGCACTGTGGCTCAAGTGGTAGAGCGCTAGCCTTGAGCTGAAGAGCTGAGGGACAGCGCCCAGGCCCAGAGTTCAGGCCCCACAACCAGACCCCCCCCCCAAAAAAAAATGTTGATTTCAATAAAAGAGGAAGATTTCTCACAAAAGTTAATAATGGATGAAGAAATTATTTTCTCCTAGACACAATCATTGTATTTTAATTTGAAATGATGGAAGGATTTCTCTAATAAAAGTCTTAAGTGTGCTGTATATTGAGTACGATCTTTGGAGGATGGCTCCATAGTATAATTTTCACATTATTTTAGAACTCTAAGTTTCAAGGTTAAGAGATAGTTAGGACTCAGTAAAGAAAGAATATTACCTTCCTTGAATCTCAGCATAATACAAAGCTGACATAAAGCCTTGAAGAATTTGATAATGACTGTAAAAGTTTTCTTTAATTAAACAGGTGATAGAAGACTTAAGGTTCAAGTATGTTGTATAGGTTTAATTAAATAGGTTATAGGTTTCTCAGATCTCAAACTTTCACTGGAATTGGTTTCAGAAAAAAATGAATTTCACTTCATATTTTGGGGAAAAAATGCAAGTAACAAGTTGGCTCATGCCTGCAATCCTACCTACTCAGGAGGCTGAGATCTGATGATTATAGTTTGAAGCCAACCTGGGCAGGAAAGTCTGAGACTCTTACCTCCAATTACCCACCAAAGATCTAGAAGTGGGGTTGCGGCTCAAGTGATAGAGTACTAGAGAAAACAACAACAACAGCCAAAAACCTAAGGTACAGTGCTCAAGGCCTGAATTCAAGCCTCAGTACAGCACAAAAAGAAAATTAAAAATATAATAAAAGCAAGTGACACTGATGTGTTTTATTTCCAATTACTGAAGAGATTTTTTGAGAGTTTTTTTTTGTGTTACATATATGGTGCAGATTCCTGGTGACTTGATACTTCATATTTACATAGTTCAGACTTTAGAACTAATAATGACATGGTGATGGTATTTTTAAAAAATGGAATCCTTTTAAAGATACAAGCTAAATTATTTGCCATGAACTTTGATGTATGAGATTTATTATACAATAATCCTAAAAGAAGAGAATGCTCTGAGTAGGGATGAAATAGGTATAGGCCATATGATGAAGGTTGAAGCTTTGTGTTGGGTACAAAGGGCCCATTATATTTGCCACTCTAATATGTACCATAATGAAGTAAAAAGAAAAAAGATGAGCCTATTTTCTAGTGTCTGTGACACAGTTCTCAGTAAATGTTCTAACTATGCTATGGCCAAATGAGGTCCCAAACATCAGCCACACCTGGAGTGATTAGGAAGTCTACCTGGAGGGATGCCATTTCTCTTTCCATGATGATTGGAATTTTGTTAGAATGAGGTCATAGGCCTTTTGTGTGATGGAGGAGGATACAAACACTGGTGCTGGAGTTGGAGGAAGGACTTTAATGAATATCATGCTGGGTCCTGTCTTAGGCACAAAAAGTGTCTAATTAAATTTTCCCACTGTATTATGTACTATTAACCATGTTTTACTAACAGGGCTGACATTCAGCTTTGCTGAATGAAATAACAGAGGAACTAATCTGGTATCCTCTTGCTGGGAAATGGCAGAGACACAATTTCACCCCAGGTTAACCTGCTGTAAAGCTTATGATTTTCCTGACATCCAACCAGTCTTTCTGGCAATTAGTCTGAGCTCCTTGGGTCTGATGTAGACAATGGTTGACACACTTGGTTTTTAACTGGGAGAGCTAGTAAGGCCATGTTTTGGTCTGAACCCAGCCAGAGCAAGAGCACCAAGGACCTCTGGATTCCTGAGGTATCTAGGAGTTGCTTGTCCTAGGTGCTACAAAAACAAAGTGCTAAGGTTGGCATGGATATCTGAAGTGATACAGCTCAGGGAAAACCTAACAGAGGCAGAAAAACCTTACTTCCAGCCATTGGTACTTCTCATTCCATCTCCCTTCCAAAACTACATTTTGGTCATGAATTAAGGAGTCGATTGTACAGTCTGAATCTCTTCTATCCCATGGAGGAACACTCTCTCACTGTAGGTTCTGGGGTGTGGCTGGAATGACTCCAGGCCTTCCTGTTGGACTGGAGACTGAAGTACAATAGGACTGATACAGTCTTGGATCCAACAGGGGAGAGCGAGTGAGGCCAAGTATCAGTATGAACCTCCCTAAGGGTCACTTGAATTGACCAATACACTGAGGACAAGGTTGGTCTGTTTCCCTCCAGATAATTCACTGTAACCATGGAAAGAACTCTGATATTTCCTGTTCCCCAAAATGGTTTGAAGCCTTTGCCCTGAATATAGACTACCTGTAGCCTTAGATAGTCTCTGGGATGCTCAGGGAATATGTTTTCAGCCTAAGTCTTCTCTACCATCAGAACACCTTCAAGAGTGTGATCTGGTGCTGGGAGATGAAGAATGCTCATTTTATCTAGGTGGAGATGGATATTGACCTGCCCAAGGCCTGATCAGAGTAGGCAAGGCCATTTATAGCTTGACAGATCACTGCCTTCATTGGCATGACTATCTAGCTGTACATGAAACCAAACCCCAGTGCTGGCCAGACCATGCATCTGCTCCAAGTTCAGGCCATACTCTGTGGCCTATGGGGATACATGAAGTTACGTTGCAAGTGGCAGTAAGTCACATTGTTCAGCAGACTTTTTAGTTCCCAGCACAACCTGGGTAGTGGCCAGAATATGTGTGTGTGTGTGTGTGTGTGTGTGTGTGTGTGTGTATTTAGTAAAGTTTTATTGCCTTAAAGGATTGTGTTCTTTTTTTCAGGGGTGTCATAGGAAAACAGGGATACCAATGTCAAGGTAAGAGATATTTAGTGAATTAAGTCTTTGGAGGACCACAGAAAGGTTCAAATCACGATTGCTTGTGGGAAGTGTGGGCTATGTTGGATGACACCTATAGGTTCTGTGTGCTTTACATGCAAGAAGTGGTACCCTGCTTGCTTTGTCCCTGCCCAGCCATTATTCCCATGTGTACATACGTGGGATATCTAGTAGATACCCGCTACCTCCCTGTGTCCCAGCAAAGCCCACAGAAACACACACACACACACACACACACACACAGCATTTTTGTGGCAGTGGTAGCAGGTAGTACTTCCATGTTCCTAGTGAGGCATGACACTTCAGTTAGAGCTCCCTTGGGGCCCTGTGTTGGGTCATCTTCCTCCTCTCTCATACTTCTTAAAGGAGATCCCTTGCTTGCTTGTTTCGGTCAGGGTCACTAAGTGGTCCTTTTGTTTTGTTTTGTTTAACCTCTACTATGGAATCATTAACTCTTAAAAATTTAAAGCTCACTTGAAGGTATTTCAAGTTGTTTGGCTACAATGCAAGGTTAGATTATACAGAACTGGAGGGTAAAATTTTAATATGGCCATATTTAGGCTTTCTTGGGGGTGAGGAGTCACCTCAATCTTCTGACCAACACCCTCTAAGTTGGGCCTTTCCTTCAAGGGAACCTGTGATGGTCTGTTAGAGGTCACTGTGTCTCTGGTGATGTACATGAGCAAAACAGAGTTACCCCTTCAACCACCACTGGCCCACATTTCCCATAGCCCTCCAGATAGAACTAATGGCCATGTCTTGTACATATTGAAGTCAACAGCATTGTTAAAAGTTTGGCATGTGCTGGCACAACCAGATATTTCCAAAAGTCTTAGAGTGTCTGTGCCACCTGCTGCAGCTCTCTCTCACATCCACCACCCTGATTCTTAGTGGAGTATGGGATATCACACAATACCTTCAATAGAGAAGTCTCCGTGGGATGGCCCATCATGGCAGATACTACAGCAGGAAAGCTTTTTGGTTTTCTCAGAGGACATTGCAATGCCTGTAGACATCAATATTTCTTTTCACTTGGGTTCTGGTGGCGAAGTGTTTTGGGAATGCTAATTTAGGGGTATTACATTAAGGCTCCTCTGGGGTCTCCACCAAGACCTGATCAGATCTTGGAAATTTTCTCCCTCCACTTGTCACTCAGCTTTCCCATTGTTTTGCCCTTTGCAGTCTGCACTTGCGTGGTCCACAAGCGATGCCATGAGCTCATCATTACGAAGTGTGCTGGGCTAAAGAAACAGGAAACCCCCGATGAGGTAAATATTTACAACACTGGAGCTCTGAGCTTTCTTCCCTGCCAGCCTCTCCCTTTGCTGCTTCCAATGTGATCCTGAGAAAATCTTATCTCTCCCTATCCTCGCCATAGTCTTCATTGTGTTGATCAGAAGTGAAGGAGTTTCCATGGCCTTCTGGCATGACATGCGATCTATGGAATGAGTGAGGTTCCAGGTTTTATCTCTGGATATTATCCCAAGAGGAATCACAAGGAAAATATGAATTCTTATTTCAATATCTCCTAAGAACCCTTAAGTAACTAAATAATGAGTCCATAGTTTCTCCCACATAGGTAATAAACAGAGATAGAAGCATAGCATACAAAAAGGAGCCTTGTTTTTAGTAGGGAAATAGAGAGGAATGAGCAATTCAAAGAATATTTAGGAGGCAAAAGTAACTTCCATGATAATAATAGTAATAGTAGTCACCATTCATTATGGGTTGTCTACTTTATGATGCAAAGACCACAGCACTTTAACATATGTCATTTAATCCTTAACTTTGCTGAGGTAGGTAGTCTTTATTATCTTCATCTTAGAACAGAATCTAGAAGCCCAGAAGAGTCAGAGGACTTGTTCTAAGTCACGTTCAGATCCCTGAGGTCTGTGCTAATGCCTTTGACTGCTGCATTATATTGGCTCTTAAATTTAGAAACCTTGGGTGTGTGTGGGAGAGATGGAGGACTACAGTGGAAGAGATGACGTTGATCAAGATGCATTCTACTCAGAAGTTGATGTGTTGAACTGAAACTCCTTTGCATAACTACTTAAAGATAAATAAATTTAGAAACAAACATCAGAAGGAATGTTTAGGGATAAGGAAGCTTGACAACTCAGCATGGGAGCCATTTTCCCCCACTGAGCAATCAGAAGAATGATAGTATTTTTAACAGACTGAGAAACTTTTCTGAGGGAGAGGGCAGGTATGCCTCTGGGTGCAGGCGCTATTTATATCCCTAGCAGGTGACTTCAGGGGTATACTTTTAATTCTAGGTGAAATAAATGTAATCACTAGGCTACTTAGAATCAGAGTCCAAGAGAAAGGCAGAAAAGAAGTCACCCTGAGAAGGCTTGGAATCCCTGGGTCTAGTACAGGCTTATAATTTGGCTTTCTGAAGAAGTAGCTGATGGAGGCCTTCTACCCACTTCTTAAAAAAAAAATAATTTGGGGGGCTGGGAAGGTGGCTCAGTGGTAGAGCGCTTGCCTTGCATGCCTGAGGCCCTGAGTTCGATTCCTCAGCACCACATAAGCAAAAAAAAGAAAAAAAAGCCAGAAGTGGTGCTGTGGCTCAAGTGGTGGAGCGCTAGCCTTGAGCTGAAGAGCTGAGGGAAAGTGCCCAGGCCCAGAGTTCGGGCCCCACGACCGGACCCAAAAAAAAAATAATAATAATTTGGCTAAGTAATACCTTTGTATCCAAGACATTTCTCCTCCTGTATCTCCTTTTGCTTTCCTACCATCTCTGGAAAGCAGCAAACACAACAAGGCATAAATGGAGTCTTCCATGCTCCTAAAGGGCAAACTGAGTCTTGAGCTCTACAATCATTTGCCAAGTTTTTTGTTATGCTTACAAGTACAAGCTAAAAGTTTGGGTCTCCTAATATTTGGCCTAACAGTATAACCCTTAATACATTGTTCTCCTTATTACTTTTACAAGAAAATGGAAGAAGAGGTGGCTTCCTTGCTGTTAACTTCTTATGATAACCTCCTCCATTGGGTACTTCCTATATGACAGGCCTTGTTGCCATATCCCATGGGAGCAAAGAACACACCAGTCCTGTCCTCAAGGACATCTGGAATCTCAGTCTCATCATCTGGAACCTCTGTAGGTTTCTAAAGCTCTTCCTCACTTTCCAGGAAGGGAGGTCCCATAAGACTTCATGCCATTGTTGGGCTAGAAGGGTGAGCTTTGAAATATACTGCGTTCACTTAATCTGTGACCAAATGCTTCCTTCTGTCCTTCTGGAATATTGAACAGTGGAAAGTCTCCAATAAGATGTTCCCAAATTTACCATGTGTCCCAAGGGACACACTTCCAGGGACTCAGAAAATGTGTGTGGGGGGGGAGGAGCACCCCAGGTTTCTTGGTAGGGTGGAGTAGATTGCCCATCATCCTGACATATACACCACTACCTCATGCTTCCTGAGGTCAGTTTCCTTTAGTGTCAGTGTGTCTGATTTGTTGCAGTGTTGGGTGTGCCTTTTTGCTGGGTGCTGTCCGACTTAGGACTGACCTCTGTGTGTTTATTCCTCTGAATAACCATTTTTGGTGTGATGTATGTGCATGCACATACACACACACACACACACACACACACACACACACACACAGACATACAGTACATGCATATGTACTACAAACACATGAAACCCTGGTGGCCTCTAAGGCACTCCCCGCCCCCCATCTAAAACTACTTTGCTCTGTATAGCAACTCTGGATTATACTGTGAGACTCTGTCACAACTAAACAAACAAAAGAGGTATTCTGCTGATAGGATCTTTGGATTTTTCTCAGCACCAGCACTTGTCCAGCCCCTTGCCCTGTCTGTCTCTACATGCGTTAGTACTTAGGGCCACACTCCTGCACTTGTAAGTGTGATAAGCAAGCCAGAAATGCTCCATCTTCCTTTGTGTCTCTTCCTTTCATTCTTTCAATGCTCATTCTCTATTCCTTCTGTGCTCTCCATGAGTCTGGCTCCTCCCTTTGGGTTGGTCTTCCACAGTAGGGGAGTGTATGTACAGATTTGTCCACTTACATGTGTGTGGCCTTTTTGTTTGCTTCTTTGTCTGCTCGATTGTATTTTCTCATGTGTGCTCCTCCTCCTGTCACTGCTCCTTGATAACTGAGAGACCCCAGTGGTCTCAAATGAGGGCCTTATTGCTCTTTCCAGCCCTGTAGAGATAGCCTGGTCACCCACGACAGCTTCCCCACCTCTTTCCTTAAGCTGACGTGCATATTCTTATGGGGATATCCTGGGATGCCATCTTCTGATTGGACTTGAGACAGAGTGGGCACAGGACTTGGTCTCACTCATCTTGAGGGGTCAAGAAGACAAGTGGGAGGTTGACAGGTAGCAATAGAGGAGTCACAAATGAGTGCACCTAAGCTAGGAACCTAAGGTGGCCCTGCTCAACTATTTTCAGTAAGTCCAGATATCTTGTACCCAGCCAGAAATTTAATTGTTAAGCCACTGCATCTCAAGCAAGTGATACTAGCATCCTGTTCCCGTGTCCTTAGTAGCCACCACTCCATTAGCCATCTCCATCTGAATTATTGTGTGTAGTGTCTGAGAACCAGTCTCCTTACTGCATTGGGTTCACATCTTCTTTGCGCTGCTAAAAGCCTTTCTACCCAGGCAAGGCCTCTGTGCACAAAGCAGCATTGAAGGCACTTGGTGACCTCTCCTGGCCGGCTCTAGGATGAGGTATGCATTGCAGACTATGCTGCAGTTACAGAAAAGCCTGAGGTACCAGAGGGGAGCAGCCTGGCCTTGCCAATCAGCCCATGTCACAGGCAATGATGGGGGTGGGGTGGGGTGAAGGCTGGGCAGGAAGGACCTTCTCTCTGTTCTGTCTCTCAGGGAAGCTCTCAGAGCTCAGCAGACCGTGCTTTCTAGGGTAGTCCTGTTTGGTTCCCATAGCTAAGCCTAAGTTCTGGCCTTGGATCCAGCTAAGTCAGCTGGATGCTGACCTCGTGTTTTATTGTCACTGCAGGTGGGCTCACAGCGGTTCAGCGTCAACATGCCCCACAAATTTGGGATCCACAACTACAAGGTCCCCACCTTCTGCGATCACTGTGGGTCCTTGCTCTGGGGCCTCTTGCGGCAGGGTTTGCAGTGTAAAGGTGAGTTTTCTTCCTGCCCCTCTTACCCACATGCCTACCTGCTCTGTTTTGTCTCATCTTTACAAAATCTCTTCAATTCTGTTCGGTTAGCTTAGAAAGTAAGCTCAGTTTTGACTGGAGTTCAAACCCTTGATCCTACTTGTGCACCTGTTAAGACCTCTCTGTAGAAATCCATCATGACTGTGTGCACAGAAACTTGGAAGAACAAGCAAGCATGCCCATGCCTCTTTAGATAGCAGACAAATTAGAGAGACAAAAGGAGCCTACACAAGTACAGAGTCAGGTACTGGTGGCTCATGCCAATAGACCTAGCCAGTCAGGAGACTGGGATCTAAGGATCATGGTTCGAAGCCACCCTGGGCAGAAAAGTTTATAAAACTCTTAACCTTCAATAAACTATTCAGAAAAAGCAGGAAGTAGTGCTGTGGCTCAAGTGATAGAGCACTAGCCTTGAGTGAAAAGAAGCTCAACGACAGTGCCCAGGCCCTGAGTTCAAGCCTCAGGACAGTGACACAAAAAGTATAGATAGAATGTATATCCTGAAAAATTAAGAACAGTGAGGGAAGGGTTGGGTAGGGGAAGGATGGGTGAGAATTTTGAAAGGGGTAACATTGATCAAGATATATTCATGAACTGCTTTGTTAAGTAGCAACTCCTATGTACAACTACTTAAAGATAATAATTTTTTTTGGAGGGGGGTCTGGTCGTGGGGCCTGGGCACTGTCCCTCAGCTCTTCAGCTCAACACTAGCGCTCTACCACTTGAGCCATAGCACCACTTCCGGCTTTTTTCTTTTTTTCTTATGTGGTGCTGGGGAATCAAACCCAGGGCCTCAGGCATGCAAGGCAAGCGCTCTACCATTGAGCCACCTTCCCAGCCCCACAAGATAATAATTTTTAAAAGTATAGATAGACAATGGGATCTGGGACTCCAGTGGTAGAGCATCTACCTAAACTGTGTGAGGTCCTGAGTTCAAATCCTAGTACTACAAAAAAATTAAAAAGGAGTCATTTATTGGACAATGACTAGATCCAGCTGTGATTATAGTGAACATTCACTGAGACAGGGAATGCACCAGGAACGATGAAGCTGGGGGCAAAATGGTGAAATCAAGTTTCCTCCTTTTGGGGATTATGTTAACTTGAGCTGCCTGCAGAACTGACAGGGAATGGGCCCTCTGTGGGTAGTTGTCACTAGCCTGGAAGAGAGGGCTAAAGTGAACATTTAAATTTGCATTTGGCAGTGTCTAAGTAGCAGTGTCTAAGTAGCTGTGGAATAGATGTCCCCCTCTAAGTAAGTGAAATGACTATGAAGGAGTAGAAAATGACACCTTGGGGCAGGACTAGAGATTACTGTCATCCAAGGATGCACCTTGCAAATGCAAGGAGAAAGAAGGATCCTGAGGGGAAGAGTGGTAAAGAGCAGCATTATAGAAACAAAAAGTACCAAGTATTTAAAGAAAATGGAAAAGGAAGCAGCAGTGAGTGTTGTCAAAGGTTCCCTCGAGGTCATCTAAGCAAAGACATGAGACCCGAGACCTGGAGTTACCAGTGAGAAAGGCCCTGGTGTGACTTCTGCTGGAGCTGTGTTGGTATTGAAGCCAAGGGCAGCCGACTGAAGCGAGAATGGAGGGGCTTAGCATCATCTTATATGGTCATACGTACTTAGCTGTTGAGCTATTCTGCTCATCTGCTAAGATTATCCTAGATGTATACTAATTATGGCAAATAAAGGAAACCATGGGAGTATGTTTCTTTGGGTCTGGCTTACTTCATTTAATATGATTTTTTCCAAGTCTTTCCATTTCCTTACAAATGGGGAGGTGACATTCTTTCTGATGGAAGCTTTGTTGTTGTTGTTTTTAATGTACTATGTGATTTTTTTGTTTCTTTTGTATGTTCTTCCCCCTATGGTATATCCCCTGTTGTCACTGTATTTGATTTTGGTGCCCTGGTATTGTATATATGTTTATTTGAATTAGGGAAGGGAAGGGGGGCAACAGAATGGTGAGACAAAGGACAAGGGGGAACCAGTGCATCAGCGATATACACAAGACAATAGGTTGGAAATGATTTGTACAACTTGGGGGCAGGGGTGGAGGGTAGGGAAAGTAGCAGAAAATGAGGGAAGGGGTAATAAGTTTAATGAGAAATGTACTTGTTACCTTATTTATGTAACTGTAACCCCTCTGTACATCACCTTGACAATAAAAAAGTAAGAATGGAGGAGGCAATTTTTTTTTCTTTTGTCAGTTGTGGGGCTTGAACTCTGGGCCTGGGTGCTGTTCCTCAGCTCCAGCTCAAAGCTAATGCTCTACCACTTGACCACTGCGCCACTTCCGGTTTGCTAGTAGTTAATTGGAGATAAGAGTCTCACGGCCTTTCCTGCCTGGGCTGGCTTTGAACTGTGAGGCTTAGATCTCAGCCTCCTGAGGAGGTAGGATTAGAGGCGTGAGCCACTGGTACCAGCTGGCAGTGTGTGTGTGTGTGTGTGTGTATGTGTGTGTATGTGTGTGTTTAATGCTTCAGACAGTCAGGGAAAAGACAATAGGAAAGGAGCGTTCGAGGAGCCAGAAGAGAAAGGCACCATTGCTCACACCAGGGCAGATGTCACTAAGCCCTGGAGAGAAAGCAAGACATCCACCAACCAAACATGGAAGGAACATTGGAGACCAGGCTCAGGAGCAGGTGTTTTTTTCTGGTTTCAGGGACTGGAATGAGGTGGGTAGAGGGGAGGAGAGCCAGAGTAACCATTTACAGCTTTTAATCTGTTGAGGCTATGGCTCTGAGATTTCCTTTCTTTTCTGAAATGGGAGGTACTTGTTGAAGGTGGCAGAGAAATGGCAGTATGGGAGGGGGAGATGGGTGGCTGAGATAGGAAACAGGTGGTGTGCATACCAAAGATGATCCCAATTTGAGTCAGGAGATGGCTGTATAGCCACATCTGGGATTCCATGTGACCTTCCTAGCATCTTCAAAGTGGTCAAGGAAGCCACCCCAGACTCTCTCTGTACTAGTCTTCCTAGCATGCTAGAACAAACGAGGGCCTGTGTGAAAACCTTTGGCAGTAGGTGAGATGAGAACAAGAGAGGGAGAAGAAATGAATGGGGTGGGGATTTCAAATGATTTTAGCAGAGGAGTGATGGCATTTCTAGAAAGATAACTGTGGTTGCCAGGAAGTGGGGGCCGCTTTGGATAGAACTCTGATGAGGCAATGTCTGGTTTTTAATAAAAAAAAAAAACAATTAATTAATGTCTATCTAGGGAATCTAAGTGAATATCCTGTCATCTCATAGATAGTGAACTTTAAGAAAACAGCCCCCCGTCCCCAGATGCCACTGCTAAGCCTGGATCCCTGGCTTGTCCTGAAGATGGCAGGGCCTGGGGTTGGTGTCTTCAGTTCTTATCAGCAGAAAATGTCCCTGTGCCCACTTGAACAAAGGAGAGGCTAGATGTGTGTTCATGGGAGTCTTAGGGAACACAAGGGGTATCAGGCTAGGAGGTAAAGGCTGTTCAGAATTCAAGGTCCCTGGGGCTGGGAACATGGCTCAGGGGGAGAGTGCTTGCCTAGTATGCATGATGCCCTGGGTTCAATTCCTCAGTACCATTTTATATAGAAAAGGACAGAAATGGTGCTGTGGCTCCAGTGGTAGAGTGCTAGCCTTGAGCAAAAGAAGCTCAGGGACAATGCTCAGGCACTGAGTTCAAGTCTCAGAAAAAAAAACTCAAGGAAAGTCAAGTTCCCCAGTAAGAAATCACACACCTTCCCTCTCTTCTTCCTCTGTGGGCGTGGCCATTACCTCCACGTTACTGTCCTCATCCTGTTGCTCTTCTCTGTCTCTTGCTTTTTAAAGAACTTTATTTTTTTTAGAGTGACTTTGGAGCCACAGAAAAGCTGAGAAAATATGCTTCACATCCCCCACCAGAGAGATGTGTCTGTTAGCATGGTACAAGGACACATCACTTAAGCCCAGGGTTTAAAAGTAGGATGTTGCACATTCTGTGTGTTTGGATGAATGTAGAATTACACATACCTGCCATTATACCATTATACTTACAGAGTAGTTTGCCCTACACACCTTTATTTATTCTTTTGGTGGTACTGGAGTTTGAACTCAGTGCCTCTCAGGTAGTGGTCAATTTAGCCATGTCCTCAGCCTTTTTGCTTTAGTTATTATTCAGATAGGGTCTCACTTTTTTTTGCCTTGACTGGTCTTGGACCACAATCCTCTTACTATGCCTCCCCTAGTGGGGATTACAGGTGTGCTCTATCATGCTCAACCTCCTCTTTCTACTTTCTCTTTCCATTCTTATCTGACCTAATTCTTCTTGGCTCAGTGGCCCCCTTACCCTATGGAGAGGCAGAATGACCAGAAAAAGCCAGCATGCCTGATTTTGTCCAGCTCTAAGCCCAAGTTGCTGTTTTGATTATAATTTACACATCAAGACATAGCTTCCCGTGCAGGGTTTTGGTAGGAGCCTGATCCTATGTCCCTTGTTTGGAGGCCCAGCTAGGTTTTCTCCAGTACTCAAGCCCTGCACCCTGCTGCTGGCTGTGGATCAGTCATCTGGCCTACTGCTTGTGGCTTCAGCTTTAGTACCAGTCCTGTGCTGGGAGGACAGTTTTCAGTGTTTCTTGCCAAAACAGGTGTCTCAAGAACTGAGTCTGGAAGGATACATCCATGAGATGATCCTGGATGGTCATATTCCCCCTTCAACCAAAACTTGTTTGAAGCATATAGGTTCAAGAATGATATATTTCCTCTTTCAGGATGGATGTCTTTATCAGCCAGGTAGAGGAAGCACAATTGCAATCACACAGTGATACTTCTGAGGCATGTGTTGTTAGGAGACTTACTGTCTGGACAAACATCACTGGGTATACTGACACCAACCAAGAAGGCCATGATGTGACCAGGTGACAGATCTTCCACTTCCATCATGGCGTATGTGATGTGAAGTTGCTGGTGGTGGGGAAACATTGCTATGGGTTATATAACC